TTGAGAGCCCCTGATATGGGTTTTGGGGTCCTATTTTATGTTTCCTTCTGAAAGGAGAAAGGGAGCTTGGCCCAGGGAGAAACTGACATATTAATACTCGTCTCCGAAAAGCATTTTTTCCAGTTAGCTGAGTGCCAGAAATGGGATGCATCAGCAGCAGTGGCATGCCCCCTTTCTGCTCACCAACCCCCAAGCAGCAGCCACCACATCCCTGGGCAGTACTTGTGCCAGCAAAGAATTCAAATTAAAGAAGATGGATAGCAGCATCCCTATCAGGATATCCTCCACAGGACACTCCTAGCACTACCTCTGCCCTCAAGGACATTCTTCTTCTACAAGTACAGTGCCATCAGCTAAAGACATTTTCACCCTGTGTTTTGGTTTCTTTCCAGAGAACAACAATCACACTGCTTTCTTCTAAATACCCATCATCACCACCAGTATGTGTCCCATAGGAAAAACTGAACCTCTAAGACGTGCTACTGGCCCCGGTTTGCAGGAGAGCAACCCGTCAGGGAGTGACTCACCAATGTGTCCTCAGACCCACCGCTGCCCAGCAGATCTGTCAAATTCTGCTCCATAATCCAGCACTGTGTCTGAAAGAGTGCAAAAAAACTGTCTTTATATCACGTATTTTTAAGAAGCAGGCGTAGCTTTGCGTATATAGGCTGGCAATATTTACCTTAGCTTATGCTGCAAATGCCAAGTCACAGGTAAGGTCCTTACTGTAGCAGTGCACAGTCCTAAAATAGCTTTTCCTCAGTATGACCTGTGTTACATTAAAGTTGTATGAAACCAAGCCAGTGAGTTCAGCCTCTGTACTTAACACCTACAAAACGGAAACATCAGCTTTATCTTCTGTGTGATCACAGCTTTCATTTTGAGCACTTATATTCTCCAGTGGAAGAGAGCTGCAATTTCCTCCACGTCTTTGAAGTGTTCCTGTCTCCCACCTGCATGTCCTGCACCTGCTGTCCCTGCTCTGCAGTTCCAGTGTCTAGGAGAGAGAAAGTAGTGCTGTCTGTGCCCTGCTCCAAGGACTTTTGGTGAAGATGGCTGAGGGGGATGGTCCAATGCTGCCAATAGCCAGCGATGGCAAAGGGCCCCGTGTTTGCTTTAACATTTCATTTTTCCTTGGAAGGCACCTTCCCCCTGCACCCACACAAGCACAGACAGGAATACCTAAAGGAAATGATCATAGAATCATAGCCATTTAGTTTGGAAAAGACATTTAAGATCATTGAGTCCAATTGTAATCCTAACACTGTCAAGTACATTTGAACCTTTCTTCCCAGAACACACACTGGGAAGGTTGCTCTCACAGACTAACACTGAAATAAAGCCCTGAACAGCCCTGAATTCCCACCAACTCTACCACATACCTACTGTGACCTCATCCACACCCAACACAGCTCCCATCCCACAATTGGCTCCGATCTTCCCCACAACACAAGATACAGGGGAAAGAGCAGCCCTACTGAGCAACAGGCAACATCTGAAGTGTGAGTTATCTCCTTAAATACTGCTGCTCCTCACTAGAGCTTGGTGCATTACTGAAATTCAGGCAAGTCATGTTGCATTAATAAACAGATGAGACTCAGCTTCTTCAAGCAGAAAAAGCAAATTCTTTATTCACATAACTCATATTTTTTACAGTTTTCACAGACCTTGTGTTCAACACCAATTTGCTACTAGTTTTATTGCCACTCAATTAATTGGTTAATAACTGGCATTTTACCTTTCCATCAAATCTCTCTATTCTTGGGTTGTTTACATATTTTCTTCACTGATTCTCATGGGACAGATCTATTGTTTATGCAGGTGTAAACTCATTTTTCTTACTAGAACAGGTTGTTGTGTTAACTGCCTAGCTTAACTAGAGTAGCAGTGCCTAAACCATATTTAATAAGACCTTTCTTTTGTAATATTTCTACCTGTCTGCAACAAGTCACATAATCTTTTTGTTCGTTTTTGAACAAACAGCACCTCATTGGGCATCAGTCCATAGATGTGCTGCTAGAATTTCCATGTGGAATGGTCTGTTGTCTTTCTCAAACCCTTTGGATGTCCACCTTCACTCACCACCACCCCAAAGGTGGAGGGATAAATTTCTGTGAACCAAGAAAATCTGCAACTATTGCATGTGTAGCAGTGGATGGCTTTCCTCGGCCGTGGTGGGCAGTGTGACATCAGGTCAAAGTTTTATGTGTGAGTCAAGCCATGACAGCCAAGCTCTGCTGGGTACTAACTCTTACAAAACCTGAAACTAGGAATTAAAACCAGAAACAAACTCTTCTCTTACAGGCAGTGTTACTGGCAGTTGCTGGCAGTGTTGATGCTTGATCTCCACTGCCCTTATGCAGGTTTAAAATGGCACTCACAACTCTGTTGGTGCTAAAGTGCCAAAGAATTAACTGAATAACCAGGAATTATTCAGTGTGGAAAAGATGTGTCCACCAAATGGCAATTTGGCATTCCGTGCCTCTCATCTTTCATCTCCTAAATAGAGATGATGGGCTATTATAGTACAAGGAGGGCGACATGAAGGGACGCGGCTCCCTCTGCTGGGCATTCCTGCAGAATTGAGGCACATCCCTGCAGAGATGTGAGAGATCAGCAGTGCTGTTTCACCTCTTCGTTCATCATGAGGCTTATTTTAAGGAAGAAAACGCTTCCACAGCAAGATAAGAACCTGGAGACCGCTGTTGCTGCCACGGTTTAATGCTGGATGAGCTCTTTCCTGGGATGCATGCCATTTGGCCAATACTGTTGCAGCCTGTTTTGCCCCAGAAAACTACAAAAATGTCAACTGTTGATCCACCCAAAGATACGGAGGGAGAGGATCTAGCCACACCATCCCCAGTTCCATACAGAAACATTTCAAATTCATCACTTGAGTTTGTCAGCCTTATTAGAGTTAAGCTTACTCCTCTAAACAATCTACTTACCCAGTCCCATCCAGAACAGCCAGAAACATGCCAAAAGAAACAGTCAAAGGGGCTTTTGCAAAATGACACATATATCCCAGAGAGCTTCCTTATATAATCAATTGTATAACAGATACATTGGGTTTGCAAGGAAAGGTTTTAGTAACAAGGAGGCTGCAGGGCTGCCTGATGTGAGAAGATGCCAGAATCTGCCCCCGTGGTGGTAGTAGCCACTTCCAGCTGTGATAGATGATAATGCCATGACTGACTCTCACAATTAATGGACAAATATCATGTATACAGTTTAAGAAAAGTTTATAGATTTATAGTTGTGTTGCACCCCCTCTCGTGGTTATCAAGGGACAATGGGAGTTGGCACATCTGGGAGAGCTGGCTTGTCACTATGGTGACATCTGACCTCCAATCAGGATTTGAGGAAGAGATCTCCACCACTGGACAGTGAAGAAGGGGTGGATAGACAGAACTTTGGGAGGGGTAAAGGGTTAAAAAGGGAAAAACCTCCATTGTGAGGGGGCTGAGCACATGGAGGGGAAAATATTTTGCTCCCAGCGCCGTAACCTTTTTTCTTTATTCAGTCTTCTGTTGTATTTTTGATAAGGTCTAATAAACCTTCCTAAACTATGAAAAGCGAGTAGCTATTTCTCACACAGCTGGCTCCAAGATGGCCCTGCTGCTGGGCAAAGCTGAGCCCATTGGTGATATTGGTAGTGTCTCTGAGATTCAGAAACACTGTGCAGCAGCATCTGTGAGAGAGGGAGAATATGTGAGAGAAACACCCTGCAGAGCCCACAGTTGGTGAAGAGGAAGGGGAAGGAGGAGCTCCAGGCAAGTGGAGCAGGGATTCCCATGCAGCCTGTGATGATGCATGTTGATCCTGTGTTGGGGCACAGTGGAGCAAGAAGTGAGGCAGGGAAAGAAGCACTAGGAGGGAAGGGGACAAGCTGATCTTCTTTTCCATGAGTAAGCAGACAAAGTTAGTTAATGAAATAAAAGGCAGTCACTCACTCAAGGAGGGAAGCACTTAACAAGACAGGAGCTTGCCAAAGGGAAGAGGGAGTCCATAAGGAATTGCTTTTGCTAGCCTGTGTGTTACATTTTCTCAGAAAAGTATGTTCTCTCTTTCTTCAGGGGCTGCCACAAGGCAAAGTGAGCCCAGGAGAGGAAGTAGTTTGTGCATTATGGCTACTGCTGCACACAGGGTTTTCCTTCTAGGAACACCTAGAGCATGACGTTCTGGACGTGTCATTCCTTACTTGGCCAAGGCACAGCAAACAGGCAATTCTTAGAAAAGCAGCTTCCAAAGCCATAACTTGCTCCTCCCAGCACCTCCAGTTTTGCTGTTGATAAGCAGTGTCTGGCTCTGCAGGCACAGCGAAGCCACAGTCTCAGAGCTGGCACAGGTCTAATACTGAAACTCTTCATTTTGATGCCTCACTTCTTCAATGCTCTGGAAAGCCAGCCTTCCTCTGCTCTGGGCCCAGGATGTGGATGAACAAGTGGAAACACTAGCGACAGCGGTAAGGACACATCTCAGGTTTCTGAACAGCATGGTGTAGGAAGCTGGTTTTGTCGGGAAGTGGGAGGTGTGAACTGAGGGAAGACATGAAAGCTGTCATTATGAACTGACCCTTCCCACTGCCCATGTCTGATGGAGTGTGCTGGGGCTCTGGATACAGCACAGAGCATTGGAATACAGAGTACAGTTGCTGGAACTGAGTAAATTCTGGTGACCCCAACTTCAGGCCTTGGAAATGTTGGAGAAAGTCCAGATGAGGCCACAAAGTTGATCAGAGGGCTGGAGTACCTGCTCTATGGAGACAGGCTGAGCATTGGAGCTGTTCAGCTTGGAGAAGAAAAGGTTCTGTGGAGATCCCACAGAAGCCTTCCAGTATCTGGAGGGAGCCTACAGGGAAGCCAGGCAGGGAGTCTTCATCAGGAACTGCAGCGATAGGACAGGGAGTAATGGGTATAAATTGAAAGAAGAAATTTAGATTAGATATTAGGAAGAATTTTTTTTCTGTGAGGGTGGCAAGACACTGGAATTGGCTGCCCAGAGAAGCTGTCGATGCCCCATCCCTGGCAGTATTCAAAGCCACACTGGATGGAGCCTTGAGCAGTGTGGTCTAGCGAGAGGCGTCCCTTCCCGTAGCACAGGGGCTGGACCTAGATGAACTTCAAAGATCCATTTCAGCCCTTTTCCGTTCTACGATTCTATGTAGAATGTCCAAAAGCCGTCACAAACCCGCGATCCGGGGCCAAACGCGGCTGGAGGGCAACCGGCTGGGGCCGGCGGGCCGGCGCTCTCCCCGGGCCGAGGCAGAGCGAGGCCGCGGCGGGCGAAGGGTTACGGGAGCCGCATGCGCCGGGCGGGGCGGTGCTGCGGGCGGGGCTGGCTCGGGCCTGAGCCGGGCTGGCTCGGGGCTGCGCCTCGCCGCTGCCCGCCGCGCTCTGGGGCAGTGGGCGGCGCTGGGATGCCGGGCCGGGAGGCGGAGGTACGGCTGCGCCCGGCCGGGCCGCTGCGCCGGGCCCTGCTCGCTCGCTCTGCCGAGGAGAGCCCGGGGGCAGCGCTCCGGTGGGACGCGAGTGCGCTGCTGCGTTCCGCGGCCTCGGGGCAGCGGGGGGGACGGGGGATGGGTCCAGCCCCGTCCTGGGCGGACCTCGGGGCACCATTGCTGGCTCGGAGTGTGCCCCGATCACACTGCTTCTGATCTGTGCGTGCTTTCTAGGCTGTCGTGATTCTGCTGCGCCGAGAGGCGCAGAAACTCGTTCTTCATTAGCAAACACCGTTATATGTTTATAATGTTTACAAACCCTCTCTAAGCACTTAAAAACCTTCACCCTGTCGTGGGCTTTGTGCCTCCTGCGGTGTTATTTCCCGAGAAGTGCCGGGCGGCGGCAGCCGCTGTGGTTAGCAAAGGCAGCCTCAGCTGAGCAGGCCGCGCAGTGCTTTGGGCGCGTTTGGGCCGGGTTTGGGGCTGGGCAGTGCCCGTGGCAGCGGGGGCACCGTGGCGTGCAGGGTGGAGGGGAAGGGTTGTGCCCTTCTTAATTAAATGGCCATTTAAAGTTCTGGTTTTCCTCTTTCAGATGCATCCAGTCCTAAAGGCCTTTGTGTGCGGCTCAATCAGTGGCACTTGTTCCACGCTCCTCTTCCAACCCCTTGACCTGCTGAAAACTCGCCTGCAAACTCTGCAGCCTGCTGTGAATGGGTGAGAGGAGGGGGATGTGTCTGCGTGCGCGGCCTGGAGGTGCTCCGCCATAGGCTTCTGCCTTATTTGCTGGCTGGGGCTTGGAGTTCAGAGTTGTAATTTGGGAAATCAGGCTTTGTAAAAGAGGAGGTAGATTTTTGTATTACGGAGAAGGATTGTTATTTTGCCCCAGAAGAGCAGAAATGTCTGTGAGTGGTTGTGAATGCCACTGGAATAACTTGTAACCTCAACATTTGTTCTCATCTGAGAGACTGGTGTTTGCTGGAGTGGCTACCATGCAGTTTTGTGGTGTATCCTGTGCCTGAAAAAAATCCTGTATGGTTGTCAGATAAGTTTTCATGCATGCAGCTTGGTGTAGTCAACCTACAGTCTGTTGCTGCTAACTAAGGGAATGGGCAACTAAAAACGCTAACAGGTGTTAAAAGTTGTGAGATACAGAAGGTGATGGAGAAGTTCTGGAAAGAGCAACCAAGAAAAGCAGACTGAGGTGAGGAAGAGCATCTTGGAACTGCCGAGTTAATGCACAGAGATATGAGTGAAAGGGGTGGCTGTGGAGTACATCTGCCAAAGAGCAGAAGTAGGTTATTTCTTCAGTTCCTGTCTTGTCTTTCTTTCAGGACTGGTCGTGCTGGGATGGTAACGCTGCTCTTTAGGGTTGTTCGTACTGAGAGTATTCTGGGGCTCTGGAAAGGTGTCTCTCCAGTAAGTGGCTGGTCTAACTCTGGTTTGTAAAAATAAATAAATAAATAAGCTTACTGTTTATTGCTAATTATGTCTGCCTAAATTTAAATAGCCAATTCTTATACAATTATGAATGAAACCACATGATTTAGATTACATCCTATTTTAAAGAGTTAATGTTGTGAATTTCACTGATCTGGTTATGGCAGTCCTGAGCAGCTGAACGTTTGAATACTTTTGGAAATGTGGTGTGACAACTGCAGGAGCTTCATTTTGGTTTGGAATATGCTGTTCCTAGAAAACTGACATTGAGGAATGCAATAAATCCTGGCATCATTTGAATAACTTGTCTGTCAGTGCCATAAGTGATTTCTACCTTATCTTCTTTCCTCAGCATGTTAGCTTTAGTGATATTTTTGTCTTCTACAAAGCTTCCTGTCAAGTTGGACAGTCTCAGAAATGTTCGGTAGTGTATTTTGTCTTATGTAAGCTTTTCCTTTCTTCATCTGCTTCTGTTTCTCCTGAAGTCCTTTGCAAGATGTATTCCTGGGGTTGGGATTTACTTCAGCACTTTGTACGTGATGAAGCAAAAGTTTCTTGTGGACCGTTCGCCCACAGCCGTGGAGTCTGTCTTCCTGGGTGCTGCTGCTCGTGCAGTTTCTGGGATTTGCATGTTGCCAGTGACTGTAGTGAAGACCCGATATGAGGTATGACTTTCCAATTAGTCCCCTGTTAATGGTGTCACACACCTTCCTTGAGATGCAAAATATAAATCCTTCTGCCTGGAGAAGATTGCTGCCACTTGGGTACCGCAGGAATGTAGGCCTGATTTCACCTCAGTTCACACATTGTGTAGGAAATTATATTTAGGCAAGAAGATGAAATAGAATTTGCCCTAAGATTTGTAAGTTTCAGTTGTATACAGTATTTGTGTAGCATCTTTCATATGTTACCTCCCTGAAGGATTCTTTTAAAGGCCGAGTTAGGTGAAACCTGGTTTTTGCCTTAGGTTGTCCTCTGTGTTTCCATCTTGGGCATCACATTAAGTTCACACTACCATTTGTTTGGCTGTTATATCCTCAGAGTGTGTGTAGGGCTCCTCAACGTGTGCCTGGCACATGGATGACTGACCTTTGTCTGCTTTTGCAGAGTGGAAGATTTGGTTATGGGAGTGTGTATGGAGCCCTGAAGAGTATCTATCAGACCGAAGGGGCTCGTGGCATGTTCAGTGGGCTCACAGCAACGCTGCTGCGGGATGCGCCCTTCTCTGGCATCTACCTGATGTTCTACACACAGACCAAAAACCTCACACCTCAGGGTGAGGCTGAGTGTTGGATGCTGGAGTAGAAAATGTTCCTCTTCTCAGATCTTGCCCTGCAGCTGACAGCCTGCATGCTCTGCTTGTTGCCCTCCACCTCAGAAGTTAAATTAGTCTCTTTTGGGGCTTTGGGTCTCTCACTCACATTTGTCTGTGGAGAACTGTAGACCTAGAGCTGAGGTCAGTGCAGAAATGGAGACTGGCCCTAAATTGATTGATTGTCTTCATGAAGGCTGATGCATAACTGGGTTAGTGAACAGTTAAGACAGGGTGTCTTAAGCACTGCTTGCTGCTTCTGCTTGTCTTGCATACTGCTCAGTTTCCATTAAACCGGGGCTTCTCTGGTATTGGAACTCACTGGGGCACCATTTGTAGAATTTTTCCTTTTCTGATTTTCTGTTGAATTCAGTTCCCCAGCAAATGAGGTTTTTCAATAGTGCTAACTTTTGACTAGTAGCCATTTTTCCCCCTGAATTGTTTCTTTAGCTGCATGGATTTTAACTTTTCTTAGGTTCTCATGTTGATTTAACCATTCAGTAGCTTTCATGTTGTCGCACAACATGAGTGTTCCTGGCCCGAATGGTGTCTGAGTGTGTTCCCTTTGCTCTGTTGCAGACCAGCTGGATCCAGTGGTTGTGCCCTTGCTGAATTTTGGCTGTGGGATCTTTGCAGGGATCTTGGCCTCTTTGGCAACACAACCTGCTGATGTCATCAAAACACACATGCAGCTGTCACCCCAAAAGTACCACAGGACAAGCCAGGCCATTGCCTTTATCTACAAGGTGAGGTGAATCCCTTTTGACATGCACAACCACATCCTCAATTCTGATCCCCTTGCTCAAAACACAGCTTTGCTGGGGAAGCTGTTGCCTTTTCAACGAGGTGAACAAGTGTCAATGCTTTACCTGCTCTTGCAGTTGGACAATTCAGTGTCAGCATTTTCAAGATGATGAAGGGGGTCATGCTGTGGTAGAAGAAGACTATAGTGTGCAGTGTGAAATGCTGGTTTCAGATACAAACCAGCTACAAAATAATTTTTTGCTCTTTAGACATCAGAAGAGAAATAAATGCCCAGGTCTTTATCCCAGGAATGGGATGGAGAATTGGCAGATTCACCGTTTCCATATTGAACTCTATTCCTAAGCAGAAATGCTTATTTGTGTATGCATTTTTATGTACTTTTTTTTTTCTTTCTCAAATCATAATGTTTTTTGCTTCAATACTTAGAAATCTCAGAATAGCTAAGAGACTTTCATAAATATGAAGCTCTAAAATAAAGACTAGTCATTTTCCTGTAGCATCTGGAGAAGATTACACCCTTCTTTTCTCTTTGTTGGATTTGAGTGTGGCTTTCCCTATCTGTTTTCTCCATCCTGGCCTTCCTTTTTTCCACTCACTGCTCTTCCTGCTTTGCTGGGTAGCCCTGCAATAGTGCAGTGCTACACGTTCTTCCTAAACACTAAATGCTGTTTAAGCCCGGGTCTTTCAGAGACTGATCTGGGTCTGAGTTGAAATACATCCTGTGCTGTTTCATGTAATAAATGATGAGAAATTAAAACCCTCCAGGCAGATTGGGATGAATTGCTGTTTATCTCCTGTTGCAGGACTTTGGGCTGGTTGGCTTTTTCCGAGGCGGTGTGCCCCGAGTTCTCAGGCGCACTCTGATGGCAGCAATGGCATGGACGGTGTATGAACAGATGATGGAAAAAATGGGCTTGAAATCCTGACTGAGCTGCACGAGAAAGGACCAGCTTCACTCCTTCTCCCGCTTGTGATCAACTGGCACTGAGAAGTTCCCAGTTCCACAGAGGAATAAGTCGTCCTCAGCCTGGAGGAAGAAAGCCCTTCTGAGATGGGGTTAGGCCTTTTGGCAAGTAGAGGAAAGGAAGGATTGGATTTTTGTGTTGTTTGATCAATGCATTCCAGAAGGACTGCACTTGCAGACTGCCATGGGAAATGGCAGGGTTTTCACAGCCTAGTAATTATGCTGAGAAGCCCCTTTTAAAAATAACTCTGTGCTCACCACCTTTATGCAATGAGACAGTATTAGAGCAAAAGTGTTTGAGGAGAAAACAGTGATGACAGAACCTGCCAGCCTGTTCCTTGCCAGAAAGGCCACAGTAACCACCATTTGATATAGATCCTCCTTCCTAATGTGCTTTATTCTTATAGAGGAACACCAGGCCCTGGTGGGAAACTGGATGTGTGTCGTGGTGCTTATATTGCGGAGTGGGTGGAAAGAAATGAAGTTCAGAGGAAAAGCTACAAACATGGTCTCTGACATCACTTTTGTACTGTGGGTGGTCACAGAGAAAGTAACTGGAACCGCCTTGCTGTGTTATGTGTTATTATGTTATTGAGCACCTTAACACTCTTGAAATGTCCTTCTGCCTCTGCAGCGGAGTTTGAGAGTTTGCACAGGAATTAAGAAGCATAAGGCACTTTAGAATTGATTGCTACCAAAGTTCTACTTGTTCTCTAAAAAAAAAAGGAAAAAAAAAAAAAAAAGCTGCTGGTCTAACTACAGCAGGAACACTCAAGTGGGTTTTGTTGGGGTTTTTTCATGCAGTTGTCATAGAGACTTATTTGTGTCTTATTCTTTATTTGTTAATCCCTGATCAACACCCTCAGTGTGAAGTGGTCCTTAAATGTAGCTTTTAGGGCCATGGCTCATAATGCATAAATGTATAATGGAAACAGATGTACATACTGGCACTTCAGATTTCCCTTAAAACATCGCTGATTGCATGTGGAGTATGTTTTGGTTTGAAAAGAAAAGGTTGCTATTTCTGTAAGCTTTCTCCAAAGTTTGAGCCCTGTGGGTGCTTGGTAGTGACCTTTAATTCCCTTAGGGGCTCCACACAGACCCTTCCCATTTTCCTGGCTGAGCCTTTTCTCATATCAGGTAGTCTGTGTTCAAGTATGCCTGAGTTTAAACACACTTTTCATCCTCTGTGCCTTCTTACTCTTTCCTACTGTGTTACTCAGACCTCACAGTGTGTGCCAGGTGCAGCCTGATCGCCCTTTACTTGTGCCTCTGTGGTGGGTTGGGTCCCTTGCAGCTCTGTTAGCATAGCCACGAAGCTGGCATGGAAGTGTGCATCCTGTTCTGTAGTGTGCCTTGCAGAAGACTTAGCTTTGGCTTTTATTTTCTTAAATATCTAGGGTTATTGCAATTCACTTTAGAACCAGAGCACCTGTCTCTAAACATGAAGATATGGCACTGTAGCTGTATGAACAACCGGTGCTACCTGCTGTTCATAAATTTTAGAGTGTATTTTGGACAATCATTGCCTGCCCAGGCAACTTCCTGAGTGCAAGAACAGAGGGGATGTGGGTTGTTAAAGGTGTTCTTCACCAGATTTCAACTCCAAAAATGCTTGATGACTGATGTAAAAGTTGAGGGAAGTGTAAGAGGACAGGCTAGAGGCTTGGAAAGTGCTGCCTGTTTTCAGACTCAGCCTATCTATGAAGAGAGTCTGGTGCTCTGCAGTGCAGGAGTCTCCAAGAATGGGTGGTGGAGGGTTCTGTGTGCACATCTATGTGTTAGCAACAGAGCACTGCATCAAATCAGGCACGTGGCACGTTGTTTGCTAAATCCTAAATGTGAACACCTGTTTCTTTCTTTTGCTGTTACTTCTGCCCTTAGTGACCAGAACTTGTGAAAGTGCATGAAACCATGGTAACTGCACATCCTGCTTGTTTGCTATCCTGAGCACTACTGACACAAAGCTGGGGAACCAAGTCTAGGATTGCTGACCTGGCAGAATAAGGTGGCAATTAGATGAGTTGCCTCATTTGCCCTTTATTCCCCTATGTATGGGATCAAACCAGCATTGTGCTGGGAGCCTGAATTTATTTGGTGCTTTATAAATCTGGCGTGAGTGGGTCTGTTGAACATCCTGGGCTGTGGTAGCCAAGGGCAGTGTGTGGGGTCACCTGCAAGGTGACCTCACACATATTTTGTTCCTGATTTAGCAATGGCAACGCAATGTGCAACCTGTGCAGACAGAAACTAAAGCTCTTAAAAATGAGGCAGGCAAGCAAAGAATGCGAGGTAATCTGGAATTAAATAAGATCCTCATCAGAAATCTGAATTTCAGGAACACTTTGGTGGCTTTTATGTCCCTGTACTCCTGCCTGGTCAAAGGAAGAAGTAGAGAGTTTATTTCCATGTGTTAATGTTTTAAGGTCTACTGTGGGGTTGTTTGTTTGTTTGTTTTAAATCTGGAATCAGGCGTAAAGCAGTGTTAGCTTTTACTTTGGGAAAGTTTTTCCATTCTGCTTTGGTACTTTGTTATTGAAGTAAAGTGAAAAGCTATATGGTTTTTGGCTTGTGGATTAACCTGGGCTCCTCTGGGTTTAAGGAACACACACTGCACTGTGTTTCATCTACCATTGGTGCTGCAAATCCAAAAGCTTATCTACCTGTGAGTTGGGGAGAATGAATTCTGTGGTGCAAGCTTGTTTGTTTCTCTTTGTTATTTCTTTTTTCAGGTGTCATATATGGGGGAAGGGAAAGCCTGAAGTTCTGCTTCACTCTGTTCTGAAAGCTTTATCACATATCACATGTATAAGAATATTTCTCAGCTCTGATCCTTACTGTCCTTCACCCTTTTCCCTTCTTCAAAAACATTCTGTTTCTGAAGTGATTTATTGAAGTTGCTCCTTGATAGCTATAGCAAGTCAAGACAATCAAGTGCGTGGACTTGAAGTTCAGATGTATTCCCCATGAGGTTTAATGCTTCTACCTCATAACAAATTGTCACTGTACAGCCTAAAGGTAAAGTAAATCAAATAAAAGGTCTGGACAGAGGTGGTTAATCACCTACCTTCATCATGCCAGCAATTCAACACTGACAGTCTTTCAGATAATCATTTCCAAAGCCATCCTGGCTTGGATTCCGGAGGCAGGGGCGCGCTCCCTTGGACTGACCTCTGTTGCTGGCAATGCACTGTTAGTGATCGTACACTGTCTCTGCTTGCCCCTGCAGCTGTGGCTAAGAACACAGCTGGCTGGCATGTTGAGGCAGGCAGTGTTTAAGTGAGTTGTAAGGACACAAGAGAAATAGTTTGATTATTCATGCTTTAGAAACTTTATGTTTCCACTCCTCCTGTGTGATGACTTGTTTGGGTTTTTTCCTCTCAGTCTCTTAAACAGAACTGGAGCTTTGAAACATTGCATAGCTTTGAGTATTGTGAGTCTATATAGTATGTGTCTATATAAAATATTTATGTGAAAAGGTGTATTATATGTTTCCATTAAAAACTGGTTGCTAAAATTAAGGATGTCATTTCTTCGGTGTTTCTTTTAAAAAACCCAAACAGACAAGCCCCAAACTGATTAAATGCACAAGGGATTGGAGGGAGTAGAGACTTAAGAAGGCAGAATGAGTTTTCCAAGAGGACAGGACTGTTGCATGTGTTCAGAGCAAGGAATATTCTCTTTTTCTGTGGTGTATAATATGCACAGGTTGTGCTAGTACAACCTAAATCAACTTGGCTTAAATGGAAAAACCACACAGCACTGGAGAATGTTGTTTTACACAGCTTCCTCTGCCTGCCTGCTGTGTGTGAAGACAGATGGCTGTTGAATCCCTGTACTAGCTGGCGAAATACCTGCCTTCAGGACAGTGGGGTTTTAAGCTCTCTGGGGAGAAACTGTTTTTAATCTCCAGCTGATCAGGTTTTTGCTACTCAGGCAGTCTGATCTCAGCAGGGGACCAGAAATTGTGCCTGGGACACCATTGTCTCCTGCAAGGCATAATGGAAGGGAATCCTGGATTGCTGGGATCTCCTCTTGCTGTCACAGTACGGTCCTGGGATTCAGAAGCAGGCAGATTGTGCTAAGCAAAACGCTGTTGATACTGAGATGTGCATCTTCCAGATGCGAAGATCCCAAGCCTCTTCTCTTGCTTAGATAATACATTCTCACATGGAGCAGTTTTCATGGATGGGTTATCTGTGTGTAACAGACCTACCAGACAGCTCTGAGGTGCAGCCTTGTGCCAGCTGAGCCTAAATTGCTTGTGCAGGTTCCTGGTAGCAAGTTGGGCCTGGGATAGTGCCTGCTTCTGCACACAGGGCTCCCCAGGGCTCTCCTGCTGCCTTGAAGAACGGCCTCCTCTGTAGTGGGTGTTGCCATCCATGCTGCTGACAGCTGCCCCAGCTGTGAGAAGAGATAGCACACAAGCTCCCTATCCCTTCTGAGTGGTAGAAGGTGGGGAAGATTGAAAGTTTAAAGGCACTGTGGTTGTAACAAAACACTGAGTTACAGATCTCCCTCATTAAAAATGGGCAAACACTTTGCTTGCTTTTTTAATTTTAATGAGTGTTGTGCCACACATAAGCACTGAAGCCAGAATTGAACAGAAAAGATTCCTCATCCTACACAGGCACATATATATGTGTGCTTTTGTGAACTCCATGTGGTTTCTTGAATATGCTTATCCCTTCTGGCTTTGGTGCTTATTTCAAAATAGCAAGCTGATTTTCCACATTGTAGTTTCTTAATTTGTGATTTCAGCAGTGTAAAATGCTTTAGGAGTTTTTATCATAATGCATTAAGGAGTTTTAGTAAAAATGACAAAACCCTAGTGAGAGGTTAAAATGAGACCTCTGCAAGTTTCTGTAACAGGTGTTAGGCAATTCTAACTTTGTAGAACTAGAAATAAATTTGCCAAAATATGTTTCCCCAAAACGTGTAAAAAGTAATAACAAACCTTTGAAACACAAGCCAAAATGGAATTTACAGGGAGGCACAGTAACATTAGTGCAGTTTCACTGAAAGTGGGTTGATCTTCATAGCTCTTCTTTGCCTTCTGCAGGGGTGCTACACAATCTCTTGGGTGACACCCACTGTCATGTTTGGTGGGGAAGATACTGCCTGAAAGGCTTTCTGCCTGAGCTTCTTCCCCAGACACACAACCCAACCCCTTCATTGCAGAGCTGTCCTGGCAGCACAGAACACCTCCTCTGCAGCCCTGTGAGGAGCCCTCTCTCCCAGCACTGGGGTCCTGGTGCAGCCCCCTGCTCAGAGGCTTCTGGCCAGGGCTGCTGCTCTGCTGCAGCCTGGGCTGGCTCTCTGGGAGATGCTCTTTCTAGGGCTTTGTGACCACCCCAGGCACCTACTTGAGGTCCTCAGTGTAGCTCTGTGATGCTTCTCTCTGCACCTGTGGGCCTCGAGTCTCCCTGGCTCTTCAGGAGGACTGGTGCCTCAAATCTGCCTTTCCTGGCTTTGCTTGCTGCAGAGCAAGGCTGTTCCCAGGGGCTGCCAGCAGCTCTGCATGTAATTGTGTAACAGAGCTCAGTGTGAACTTTGGACAAGGGAAAACTTGTCTAAAACGTGATAAGATAGATACACTTTCACCTCAGGGACGTCCATTCATAACATTATTTTAAACTGTCTCAGCACGCAGATGAAAAAAAAAATAAAGGCAAGCGTTCAGGTTATTTAAGAAAATAGCTAGAAAGATTTTATTGTCCAGCTTCATCACCACTGTTCCAAGCCGTCTCATGGGCTATGGGCCTCATGGTCTACCAGAAAGGGCCCATAAGCATAACAATAAAAAATAAATGAGGTATTAGTGAAGCAAGAGGAGTCTATAACACTTGACAGTGGCACTCTTTTGATAACATCATACAAACTGCAATATTCAATACTTAATTTCCAACCATTATGTTCAAATACACTTTTAATACGGATGGGTTTCAATTGCGCAGAAGAGCTCTCCAGGCGAAATCCATTACCCACACCGCGGTGACATCACCACCACCTCTCCTCTTCCTTCCTGAGATAATATTCACCCTGCTCCTTTCTCCTTAGGAGAAACACAGTTTGTACACAGCCATCAGGTCTCACCATCCACAGTGCACTTACCCAAGTGCCACAGATGTCTATGATCTCTCAGGCAATAATAGTTCACACTCTGGCCGAGGGCTCACTAACCTGTTGCTGAGTTTCATTTTACCTACTTTGTCACCACCGTGTGGCAAATGCTTGAATTACTCAGCATAGTCTAAAGCTGATTTGGTAATCTTACTAATTAACACCATCTGATAAGCACGAAGAAAAGAAGAATAGGGAGCCATTTTCCAGGAGACAAAGAACATACATGAGGCAATGTTGTAACCTGCTACTTGAGCACTTCTGCCCCAGAGTAACTCAGGGCTCAGGCATTGAGAAGGAGAGTCTAAGGCCAGTCACACTGATGTGGTTATGTGAGGTTAAAATAGAAGGGAGAAAACTAAAGGAACACTGTTGTTAGAAAGATGTGAAGATTAATTATCACTTGCAGAAGGCATTGGCAATAGTATTTGCACAGTCCAGAAATGTTTCCAGATCCTGATGATAGCAAGCATAGCAAAGTAAGTATCACTACTTTTCTTTTTCTCCAAGAAATTCCTTCCTCAGGCCTGTGTCTGAGAATAGGACAAAGAAGATGAGAAAGACGATGAAGATTCTTAAATCTCATCACTTTCTCTGGTTTCTTAAAAGCAAACAACAACAAAAAAATCCCAAACCCAACAACACACACAAAAAAAAGGGGCAAGTACCACAAGAATGTCTACTGCAGAACAAGGATGTGTAAATTCAGTGTCAATTTCACCTGGTTTTGCTGTCATTTCTGCAAAGGACAGGAACAGCCTTGGCTGCCCAAGCTCTCCTGCGTGGTGCCAGAGCAGTGCCCCTGCAGGGAGGGGGAATGTGGGTGCAGGGAAGATGCTGCAGCTCCTTAGAAGCTTCCCCCCACAGCAAGCAATTTAGAGCCTAGATATAATTCATCAAATAATCACCAGCCCTGAGAGCATGTTTCACTTTCAGCAGGAAAATGGAATTGTAAAATATTTAAAATAAATCTTTGCTTTCTATTCACTTCAAGACCTCAAAAACAGCCTTGATGTTGTTTGGAGCACAAGCCTCCGGATGCTGTGAGGCAGATCCAGACTGACAGAACCACAGAATCAGCTCAGTTGGAAAAGGCCTCTGAGATCCCGGAGTCCAAGCCATGACCAAACACCACCCTGTCAACCAGACCCTGGCACTGAGTGTCATGTCCAGTTTTTCCTTACACACCTCCCGGGAGGGTGACTCCACCACCTCCCTGGGCGGCCCATTCCAAAGTCTAATCGCTCCTTCTGTGAAGAAACTCCTCCTAATGTCTAACCTAAACCTCCCCTGGTGAAACTTGAGTCCTCTCGTCCCTGGTTGCCAGGGTCAAGATGCCGGCCCCCACCTGGCTACACCCTCCTTTCAGGGAGATGTAGAGAGCGGTAAGGGATCACGCCCGAGCCTCCTTTTCTCTGGGCTAAACACCCCCA